GCTCCTGTAGAAAAGGTTCCCTCATGTCCTGGGTCTTCATTGACCTTAGGGCTAGGGACAAAATATTGACTGTCCTCCTGATACAGAGGACTAGGGTGCGGCAAAAGCTGGCTGGGAAAGAAGGCATGACCTGTCAATTACAAGATTTTGGACACATGGGCAGAACAGTTCCCAAAATCTGGCATGTGGATTTCTTGTGAGAACTTGAGCAGATTTTCAATAGGATGTCCTAGGCCTGACATCAGCCTGAAGCATGAGATCCAAGCACTGCCTCCCAGAACTCATATGTAGAAGTTCTTGGGGGTTTCTTTGAGATTTAGACAGCATAAAAGGACACATCAGTGCTATGAAGACTTGATTATCATACCTTTCCATGATAGCTCATACTGTGTTTCCCAGATGCACCTTGTACTTTTATCTTTGCTCTGACCCACTTTTTCTATTTCTTGGCCCAAGCTTGCTCTGAAGAGCCAGTTTCTCTCCCACTGTTCATTTATTGCTTTCATGAATACACCTTGCCACTGCTATTTGCTTGTTTCATTCAATTGTTTGTTTGAGGCAAGAATTTGGAATCCACATACAGAAGGAGAGGTGAGCTATTCAGAACCCAGTAACTTTTTCTGGTGTTGTAGTTACTTTTCTTGTTGCTGAGACGAAATACACAATGCCAAAAGTTAAGGGAACTTTCTATTTCTTGAGCCAAGAAATAGAAATTGTTCATATTTTGTAGAGATTTCAATCTATAGTCAGCTTGGTTCCAAGGCAGGGTGGCATGGCAGACAAACATCACAGAAGAAAAACAGTTCATGGCAGGCAGAAGGTAGCAAACCAAGGGAGGGACTTAAAAGGGGCATCTCCTTTCTGCTCCTTTTATACTCTGTCTATACTACCAGGATTAGGGTGGTGCCAAATCAATCAGGGAACTGATTTAGTAATCACACACCTTTAATCTTAGCATCACACACTCTAGATTCACCCACCTCTGAAAAAGCCCCACACATGGCTACATGAGACTTTGAGGGGACATCTAGACAACATCATAGCAGTTAGTGAGCCACTTTTGAGAAACAAGGTACAAGATAACACTTGTAGCCCAGTTACTTTTCTAGTTTTGATCTTCAAACTTTAGTTGTTGAATACCCAGAAGAGAAGATCACTTACATCAGTATTTCAGTGACAGCAGACTGACTTTGAATTACTCATAGTTATACTTTTGGAAATAGATAAAGAAAAGAAAACTTGACTAGGCCACATGTGCAGATTGCCCAAACCAGATTGGATCTACCCAAGGAGGCAGCTTTGCCCTGTTTTTTGTCACTAGTCTAGGTGTTTCAATTATTCATGTCTAAAGGCTCATGTCTAGTATCAATCTAAAAATGAGAGCTACAGTCTTTGTCTGAAAGCACCAGTTAGACTAAAGAGGAGAGTTGGGATCTGGGGAGGAGTGAGTGGTGATCTAAGAGTTGAGGCCACAGCCCCTCTAGTCTGATTTGAGCAACAGGGAGCTTTTAGAAGAAATAACCTGTGCTCAAAGAAACCAACAAGAGCAAAACCTCAGAATAATCAAATGTACATATTTCTTGTAACTCACATCCTCCACAAGCCTTTTCTCTACATTCTTGAGCCTTCAGTTTTGCTACTATCTCTCTCTTCTTTCTTTTTGGGAGGGCAGAAACCTTATCACACAAAATCTCACAAGGAAAATACATCTTTGTACTTACAGCTTTCTCCATATTCTATTGTTTATTTTATTATAATCTTCCTGTAACAAACCTAAAGAGCTCTCCCAACCTTTTTTCTTCCTTTTGATCTCAGAGTGTTATAATTTAGCCTAACAATCATGATGACGTTATTAGGTTTTGTTATTATCTCTGAAACACATTTAAATTTCCATCTCAGTATAAAATAACATTTTAGTCAGTTATCTACTTACAAGATATTAAGTGACATAAAGAAACTTTTACCTAAATTTGTTATCTTTTAACCATTTTTTGTTACTAGAGTGATATTTAAGAAGAATGTACTTGTTTTTTTTTTTTTTTTTTTTTTTTTTTTTTTTTTTTTTTTTGGTTTTTCTCCGGTACCGGGAACCGAACTCACAACCTTGCGCTTGCCAGGCAGGCGCTTTTGCCGCTGAGCTAAATCCCCAGCCCCTAAGAATGTACTTGTTTATCGTTACACTGTTAAGACTATTAATGTCTAATCTCTAATCATTAGAGTGACACTGTCTGGACTGCACAGTGTTTAGGTACCTCTAACTGTCACAATACAATCACCTAATGATGGCACAAGCACAGTTCTGAAAATGTGTCTGCATCATTTGGTTGGCTGCCGAAAGCGGGATTGGCATGTACGTATCATTACAAGTAGCTGGAACACAAGTAAGGGAATGCCAGATGTGTGAGCCTAAAAGGTTTACCGCCATAAACAACTTTCACCAGTAGGATATTTTTAGTTTTGCATCTTTGGAGGCCCATATACCGGGGAAATAAAAATGTGCTATTTAATATGAGGTGAAACAATATTGCGAAGAATTAAGGGCATCTTTATAGCTTTGATAAATTGAGGAAACAGTCTTAATGACCGCAAGTAGACTTATTACCTAACATACAAGTGCATCTCATTTATATAATAACAAAATGTTTGTTTAGTCAGAACCAGTAGATGTAGATTAACTATCAGGACCAGATTTAAACACATATCAAATTTTGATCATTTTGTATGGTTAAGGCCCAAACATCTATTAGTTACTTTATACATATTAAATTTATGTAGTCTTAAATCTATAAATTTCACCTTAAAGCTTAGACTCACAGCATGGCTTATATTTAGATGTATACATACACATATGTCCAGATATATGTTATGTGATAAACTAAGGTAATAGTTGTTTATTTAACCAGTCATGCACTGATTATTGAAAACATTTCATAGGTTAGCAAAAACTTTTTAACTCATAAACTCCATTATTTAGTAACCAAAAATCCTAGTGATGAGAACACAAGACACTTACTTTAGTAAAATATAAAACCTTTTGTTTTTAAGTCAAATTTTCTAAGTTTAACCAAGAGCATTTTAGTGTTAGGAAAACTTTATTATTAGACATAGAAAGTTTAACCTTTTAATTATAGCCAATTTAAATATATCTTAACAATTGCTTTAAATGACTTATGAGAACTAAATTATAACATTTAAACACTTTAGGCTTGCACATAATATCTTTTCACCAAGGAAAAGCTCTTAAATTGTAGACAGACAGCAATAGACACTGCATTTATAAAACCAATCTTTTGATGCTACCTCAGTTAGTTAACAACCTGGATGGAAATATAGTACCAACTTTAAAGACATCTCCATTTTTATCTTGTTAACTCATCGTTAACCCTATGGAAAAGGTATTTGGGCTATACCATGAGTGTCTACTATATTATAAGTGTTTACTTTTCTATATACCAACTAAAATAGAATATACCTGAAAGTTAACACACAGAACCATAAGTAGCAACCCTATCATATATGACCCTTACACTATTAAACTTTGTTTCTAAATTCTTTGTAAGCCTTGAGATTATCAGTTCTCATCTGTTAATGTTTTAAGTAAGTTTGGCTACCCTGAAAACCTACACAAATGATTTTCCATGGAAATCTCAAAAAGAGCCAAAAAAGAAAAAAATTGTTGAGCTCAATTTTTTTTTTAAATGAAGCAGCTGCAGGTGTTTTAACTGGCTTAACATTGAACAGAGAGACATACACAAGATGATTATATTTAAATTAGACTGCATTCTCAGGTGCATTTGGCCAAGTTGAATTACAATAACCCTTTTACAGTTTTTAGGTTTATAACTATAAATAGACTAGTTGGAACTTTTTATAGGTAGATTAACAGAGACCTCTTGTAATAAGAGTCAGAAGGAATAAAAAGCTTTTACACCTGTGAAAGCAGAGTTGGTTTTTAAGGCAGACTGTTAATCTGATTGAAATAGACAGCTATGCAGGTTTCTCACTGTTGCTGTGATAGCCACGGTTGTTTGAGAGTCACAGCTGATAGCCAAAAATGCTGTTTTGACAGCCACATCGGATTGTTCCCACTAAAGGGACAGACTGTTGAAGCTAATATTAACTACTTCCAGGCGGTGTGCAGGCCAGGTGTGGGTATAGAAAGAGACTCGGTGGTGTTCTGTGGAGCTAAGTGTAGATTCCAAACAGTGGGGGAAGAAGGCCTGCCAAGGCACCAATCTGCCCTGCTGCAGATGTCTACCTGTGGTAGCTTTTCCCCATTTTGGAAAAACGAAAAACAAGGGGAAACAGGCATCCCTGGCTGTGTTCTGTGCCCAGTCTAAGGCATCCTCTGGACTTAACCCCGCCCAGCATCAGGGGTGGTGAACTGGAGGTTTGAGGAAGTGGTTGGAGCCCTGCTCTTACCATGTGCTGGGGCCCCCTTCCTTGTGATCCTGTGACCCTTGGACCATAACTGGTCATAGGCTTTCTTCTTTCAGAGCCTCAGGTAGTACAACTGGCAAGATATTGTAGAGAAAGGTCATGACAAGAGAGAGGCAGTCCTCTGGGGACTGAGCCTGTGGCTATTCCTTAATTCCTGTTTCTGTTTAAATCTGTTACTCCACTCATAAGAGTCCCTTGGAACATTTTTTGTTTTATCAGTGAACTTATCTGTGCTACAAAAACCAGTCATCCGCTCTGTAGTGCAGCATTCTTGAGGGGAGCGGGAAGTGAAAGGAGTTAACTTAGAGTTCTGCCTAAGGGCAGAAGGACTGATAAAGTTAGACTAAAACTTTTACATGTATTCTTCAAAAGCTTGAGAATTAAGTCTAGATCAGCTTTTAGAATATGATCCAGAGATAGGTGCTAGTCAGCTGCACTATAGCAGGGTTGCAAGGAGGAGGAAGCTCACGATTGGAAACTTGATACTGGAATCCAGCAGCTTCAGAGAAAAGAAATGTCTTGGATAGAACACTGTTGTGGTAAATTGCATTATTTTTCAGGGGCAGAGCAATGGAGAACGGAGAAGAGTGACTCTGTGTATGGCGTAGGAACTGAATCCTAACTATCTCCAGGGCAGAAAGACAATCAAGACCAAAACTTTTCCAGGGTGAGTCTCCAGTCCTTAGCAAAACTGCCTCATGCCTCTGAAGATAAAAGCTCCCATTGACTCCAACTGCATTGCCAAGCAGAAAGCCAACAATCGGAGACCTAAATGAAGTTCTGTCCTGCTGGTTGCATGAGAAACCTCTGCCCAGGGGCAGCTGCAGCTGTGTAAAACTGTGACTGAACAGAAGGGTCCGGTTGGATGCTCATAGTCTACGTGGGGAAGTCTCCAGGATTCTCCTTGGCCTCCCTGTGTAGTGTTTCTTGACCCAAGTGTGGGCCAGGACCTCTTCTGGAATTTGGGAGCCTTATCATCTCCAAGACAAGGCAGGCCAGAGAATTTCTTTATGGCTAGCTCAATGGTGAGGAAAGACTAGAGTATATCTTCATCTTCTGTAACTCCTTGGGAGGATAAATAATACTTTTTATGACCTGGCTTAGGGGAAAATATGAGCAGGGAAAAGGAGGTCAGGAGAATGTCAGAGTGGGAGGGAGAGGGATAGATTGTTACTTTCTGAGACCTGCATCTTGGGTCTAACTCACCTCACATTATCATCTTTCAGCTTTATAATTCCAAAGCTGTCCTGAAGTTTCTGTAGGAACCAAACACAGGAGATAAGATACAAAAGCTATGCTTATTGCTGTAGCCTTATAGGAAATAATAAGGGCTCTGAGAGTTTTGAGCCAGGAATTGTAGACAAATATCTCATAATACTGAAAGTGGTTTAGGGTTTATGCGGGTAAATGATCTTTATGCACTCAAAAAGACTATGTTTTACAGTTGTTGAAAACAATACTCTGAATACATCAGTTCATTTTTAAGTCCTACTATTAAATCTTTTATATCCTTACTAGATCTTGGTCTGCCTTTCTATTGGGTACTGATGATGGTGTATTAAAATGTCCTCAATGATTGGGAGTTTTACTGTTTGCCCTTTTGACTCTAATATTTCTGCTTTACTAATATTGAAACTACATCTGGTGTGCACAGCTAGCAATTTTCCCAGTGGAGTGCAACTTTGATTCTTAAGGACCAGTACTCTTAAAAGAATTTCTGTATAAGAAACCACAAGTACTTCAGTTAGCCTCTTGTTCCGAGTTTACGTGAATGGAATGCAGAAGGAAGGTTTGAGAGAATAAAAAGCTATTGAAATTTTGGTGAGAGGAGTGACAAGTAAAGGTGAGTTCTAAGAGTCCAAATGTGGCTGATTACATCCTGGGGAGTGGATTTCACAGAAGAGAAACAGAAGCAGGGCAGGTGTATTAGCTTGTTGAGGCAGCGCAGGGCAGTGTTCCAGTTACCACAGTGCTTACCTGAGGGTGTTCTTGGGGGCGGTTTATACATCTTAATGAATTAATTACTTAAACTTTTTCTTTCCCTTTGGTTTGGAAGCCTCCTAGTTTCTTTCTACTGAAGATATGATGAATTAGTGGAGATCAGAAGAATGCAATAATGATTCGATTTTATTGTTAAACATATATGGCTTAATTCATACTCATACCCATAACTGACCACTGAGAAAGTCTGAAAACTTAAGGGATGTTGACACTAAACCCTAAGAGTCACGATACGAGAATTTACTGCCCAGCGATTTTTTTAAGTCTGTAATTTGGCAGGCATCTGATCAAAGTTTTTACATAGAATATAGAAATCTTACCAATAAACAATGTTAAAAGAGAGAATGTACTGATGAATTTATTTGTCCTGTCATTGACTGAGAATAAGGATATTCCACTGACAACATCTTATTTGGGGAGAAATTCTTACAAATAGGATGTTGAAATTTTCCTTCATCTTCTGACATAGAAACAAAATACAAAAATTATAAAAAGGGGCCAGTTCATTATTTTAGACACAAGATTTACAATGTGACATCAGGAAATGCTTAAAAACCTATTATTGATACTATACTATATGGCAAATATCAATGCACATTTTATATGTAATTCATTCACAACCGAGATATGATACATGTAAGCTTGACCCTGAATTAAAGGCTTTTTTGGCAATTATATTTCTAAACTCAATTCAGTGGACCATGAACAAAGGTCTTGACTAAGATTTATTGGCCCAAGAAGGACTGTATTTGTGTTTGAGTAAGTATACTTATTGGACTAAGTATGTTCTCTAGGGCTTGGAAATTATGTGGAATATTTTGATAATTGCATATAATTATCATATAATCAGGAGCTGATGAGATCTCCGTGACATTTATCCAGTTAGCCTATGGGCATAATTGTCCTTTTAAAAGCCTTACTTTCCCCAGTGAGGTTAGCTAGCCTTTCAAAAAGTCTGCTTGTGAGCCTTGTTCACTTGAATGCTATCTCTATAACATGGCTCTGTGGAGGAAAATTCCATTGTAGGGTATAGTGCTGATCTTTTTGCTGCATTTGTGCCTTTGTTTTTCAGAATATGTAATTGTATATTGACAGTACACTGTTCTATTAGGTTCTTATTTCTGTCATTTCTCTTCAGTATCTGATATCAGCCCTATGTTCGCTTCCTTGACAGTGTTGTACATTTATTTTTCTGACTCCTAATACATCCTTTTGTCTTTAGATTTGACCAGTTTCAGTCTAATGTGACCAGGAGTGTTTACCTTATTATGTATCCCGATTATGGGTTATCACACTTGTTGAATATTTGCTTGATGTTTTTCATCATTTCAGGAAAAATTGAGTCCATATTTCCTCACATATTGTTTCAGTCACATTATTTATCACAAATAGTTCCCCCTTGGGAATGCTTTTACATGTATGTTAGAGTTTCAATATCCTTTATATGTATTATTATCTTTCTATATTTATAGCACTTTTTCTGGGCCTTGTGGGGGAAAATTTATTCTGACCTATTTTCCAGGTTGTTAGTCTTGTATTCGTCCACTGGGTCCAATCTGCTGCACCATCTCTGAGTTAGTCTAAGATTTATGTTTTTCATTTCTAGAATTTCAACTTGTTATTTTCAAATGTCTAGCATACATTTCTTTGAAAATATAATATTATTTACTTATTTTTATTTCTTTAAGGTATGATGGGCTTGTGAAAGTCTATACAAATCTCAAATATATTACTTGATTAATGTGGAAAATTTTACCTTTCTCTCCCTCAACATTATATTTTAAGGAGCAGAATGTATTTCTTTTATATTATGTATCCATAAAAACATTTTTTGTTATAATTATTCTTAATAATATATTTGTCTTTGAATTTTAATACTGTGGTTAAAAGTAACTTATATGGTACATTACAGTATCACATTGTTCTTTATTTTTCTGTAAATTTACCTTTACCAGTGAGATCTACTTCTATATGTTTTTCTGTTTCTGTCAAGCATCCTTTCATTTCAATTTGAATAACTCTCTTTAGCACTTCTTGTGATGTTGGTCTATTGGGGTGAACCTCCTCAGTTTTTGTTTGCTTGGGATGGTTTTATCACTGCTTTATTTTTGAAGGATGGCCTTCCTGGTATAGTATTCTTGATTGACATTTTTATTATCTAAGTACTTTGAATATATCATTCCACTCTCTACTGGTTTGTAAGACTTCTGCTGGGAATCCACTGGTAGAATTATAGAGGTACTTTTGTATATATAAGTTATAGTTCTCTTGCTGCTTTTGGATTTCTCTTTGACTTTGACTTCTGATGATTTAATTGTAATGCAGCCCTCTTTAGGTTTAACCTGTTTGGGGTCCTTTGAGCTTTATGCTTCTAGATGTCCACTTCTCTAGATTTCACATTATTATTATTTTTTAAAGATAAAAGAATGAAAACATACTAACAAACACATGTAAATTTACAAAATAACACAAAAACAATACAAGCAATACAGAATTTCAGACAAAGTGACAGGAAATTAACAATGGTTGTTATATTATATATTGCTATCTTGAAACTGGTTACTTAGATAAACAAATATAGGCATGTAAGATTGATCAAACAATCAAACATTAACTGTTCTTTCAATAAAGCAATAGAAATCAGTAGTACAACTATCTTAGCTATACTGTGTATCCATATAAACATATTTTCCTTTCTTTCTTTCCTTCTTTCTTCCTTCCTTCCTTTCTTCCTTCCTTCCTTTTCCTTTTTTCCCTCATCCCAATTGTTCTTTTGTTTTGAGTTGTTTCTTTCCCTTTCACAATATCTATTGTACTTCCTTGATTTTATTCACTCTCTCAGGTTCTTACACTAGTGAGACAATATGGTGTTTACACATGCAGGTTTGATTTATTTCGCTTATGAGTATGGTCTCTAATTCTATCTATTTACCTATAAAAGCCTTGAGTTTATCTTTCTTTATAGCTGAGTAATAGTCCATTATATAAAAATATCACAACGTTTTATCCATTCCTCAGTTGATGGGCATTTGGGTTGCTTCCATGATTTAGCTATTACAAATTGCACTGCTATAAACATGGGTGCACATATATCACTGTGATATGATGTTTTCAGTTCTTCTGGGAAAATACCCAGAAAGGAAATAGCTGGGTTGAATGGGACCTCTAGACCTAGTTTGCTGAGGAATCTCCAAACTTATTTCCATGGAGGTTTCACCAATCTACATTACCACCAGCAGTGCAGAAGGGTTCCTTTTTCCCTACAGCCTCTGCAGCATCTGTTATTGGTTGATTTCTTAAAGATAGCCGTTCTTTCTGGGGATGAGATGGATAATTGCACATTATTTGTTTTAATAAAGTTTCTGCTCCTTTGTCTCTTTTCCTCCACCTTCCTCCTCATTCTTTTCTCCATCATGTTCTCTCCCCTCCTTTATTCCACTTTCTCCTCCTACTTCTCCTTCTTATTGCTTTCTTTCTTTTTCTCTTTTCCCTCATCCCAGTTGTTCTTTCATTTTGAGCACTACCCTCTTGCCTCTTTCTTACCACAATGCATAGATTGGTTCATTTGATCACATTCTATAGTCTTTCTTCTTTCTTCTTTCATTCCTTTTTCTTTTTTACCTCTCTGAATGAATAATTTCAAATGACCTGCTTTTGAGATTACTG